GAAATGAAGGAAAAACTTTTTTTTAGCACGGTTTCAAAATAAATACTTACTAGACTAAAGCAACTTATGTTTACTTGATTATCCATACATTAGTTTTAGAAAAAATCATTTTAAAATGTAAGTATGAAATATGATACATCAAGCTTTCGAGAAACATTTATTGTATTACATTATATGTTTTGCCCCCACAATAAAAACTACAAATCTTTGATCAATATTTTTTTTCTAAGACATATGTGATATTCATCTTACTTTTTGGCCTCATAAATATTAGCAACCGCACCAAATTGCTCATTTTTTTCCTCCTCAAGTGAGACCTCCACATTCGCCTATATATGAGCCATAAAAGCCTGACAAAAACACATATGCAAACTTTTTAAAGATTTTTTTAAAATATACTTTGTCTAAAGGTTCAGTAAACTCCTCCATTAAAAATAAATAAATAAAGTAAAATAGTCTATTATTTTGTATGTCAGGCTTTACAGGGTTATAGTTATTTTGTTCCATGTTTTACACTGTTCATAAGTAATCTTGGGTTAGTAATTAATACACTGTAAACCTCAGGCTACTGTTCTTATTTGTGTTTATGAGGTTGATAACATTGAATGAACATGAACTGAGAGCACAACCTGTTTATCTATCTATCTATCATCTGTCTATCTATCTATATGTACATAAAATTACAGGGGTTTCAAATCAACTCAGAATTAGTGTGAAAAACCCAAAAGAGTGTTTGACCTAAACTCTAAAGTCTGACTGTACAGGAATGCAAACCAGAATATCAAGGTTTTACAACAGGTTACAGAACCCAGTTTCATTCTGTGTGCTTATGGTTAAGCTTTAACTCTATGAGTCAAGTCATGAAAGTCACAAAAAGGGAATGTCTCATAGCAAACAAACACATCGCTTGAAAATGAATGATTATTGAATATGATGTGTAATATGAATAAGTAATATCTAGGTTGAATTTAGATGTTCTTGAATCAAATAGTCCATGTTTTTGCATACTATAAAGGTTTTACCCACTGGCCATTTAAAACAGTCTGCTTTGATCAAAACATTCATTTTTAGGCACATTAACTAATTGAGCACATGCGGAACAGGTTCTTTTCAAAACATGTTTATATGGGTATAATTCATATATTTTGGACTAAATGACTTCCCAAATTGAAAGCACACACCCACAGGTTTAGCACAAACCAGATAAAGTCAGTTGAGGCCTGTCACTAATTATGTATACACCCTACATTTAAAGGAGAGACCGGGGCTAGTTGTCACACTGAATTTCACAGTGTAGGCTTGTTTTTGAAAGTCAATTCCTTTTAAGAACACAATGTAAATGTACAAAAAAATTATTTTCCAACATTGTTTCCAAAAATATAATCAGAGAAGATATTATTCATTTAACACACCAATAGTGGGGCATGTTGTCACATTGGAATAATATAATTAAGCTGCCTATTAAACGTTTTTTTAAACAGTAAACAAGTTATGAAACATAAAAATGAATTATGAATTTTAGTTTGGAGGAAAGAACTCACAAAAATTATTCAAATTCAATATGGTGTTTGACACCAACATACAAAACAACTACCAGAAAACATATATTTTTTGTAATTGAACTCAAAGTTGACTCACAATCTTTATAGTTATTTAAATAGAGCCATGTGATGTCTAGCCCTGTTTTTGTACCTGCATCTGACTAATTATTACTCTACATTTGCATACTGACTAACACTGGCTAATCATTTAAGATCACATCCTTCAAATTTAAAAGTGATTCTTTAAAAGTTAAAATCACACACAAAAAAGCATGCAACTACCTGTGAGCTGAAGAGTAGCTGAACCCAGATGTTCATGTGCCTCTGAAGTTCGCTTGGCTCCAGAAGCACATATTCCAGTCTAGGTGTGCATCCAACAAAGCAATGTGAGAGGTGTGCAATCCAGTCCTTTCTGCCTTCCTCAAGCTTTTCACTGTGGTTTTCATCATCCGTTAGTTAACATAAGCGACGTGTCTCCACCTCTTCTGCATGTTTTTCTTTGTTTCTCCCTCCCTCTTTCTTTTACCCTGTCATACCTGTTGAACTCGCTCAGGTGTTATTTGAACCAGCTTAAGTTTGAATGTGAGGAATCCACTGACTAATATACACGTTTTATTTTTCCAACATCTCTGCTGACCTTGAATGAGACCGAATCAAACAAGTGTGGATATCAGTGCTCTAAATATCTGTGAGCCATGTTTGTTCATGCAAAAATCACAGACATGATGCAGGGATGTCGCTAGGGTGTTTGGAGTGGTTGCTAGGTGGTTAGTTACTAATCCAAGTCAAAAAAGACCACTGAATTCTCTTTAAAAACACGTCATTATGTTTGCCTTGTCAAACACAAATACAAGTGCACTTAGGATGAGAGTCATGTTGGCTGTTTGCAGATATTCCTGTTGTAATGGAGACAAATTCCATAACAAATGATTAGTCCACATTTTTTTTCCTACTCCACTTCATATAACTGGAAAGATACACCATTTAGATGGGAACAATAAAGAATTTTATGAAGATCTCAGGAAGCTGCTGATAAATGAAGTGACTAGGTTAATATTATTCTCTCTCACACATACACACACACACACACACACACACACACACAGCCTGATAAGTGAGAAGGAAACTCTCTCCCATTCCAGCATGTGGAAATTTTATGTGCGTATTGATGATAGAGGCTTATTATGGTTTATATGGTGTTGTAAATCACTTTATACCCATCATACCTGTACCTTTATCTTGTATTAAAAGCTGTTGTCAACACACTGTTGCCACTACTGATTCACGGTGAGAAAGAGAAACAAGACAGAAGAGCAGCATCTTGATGATTAGATAAGCCGTATGCAAAATACACATGGCTGCAATTGGGGGATCAGATTTCCATACCGTTTTTAGATTAGAAGGAAGATGTGGTGTGGTTGTTAAATGTAGTTGCATTGTTTGAACAATGCAAGGTATGAAAGCCCGTTTCCGCCATGGAATATATATATATATATATATATATATATATATAAATAAAGTAAAGTAATATATAAAGTTTTTAATCACACAATTGAATTTTTTTTCCCCTTCACAACAAAAAAGTTGCAATTACCTTTTTTTTTCTTTTTCCGTGACAGGGTCAGAAAAACAGAATTGTGGTATGTAAACTCAGAATTCAGAGAAAAAACGTCAGAATTGTGAGATGTAAACTTTGTGAGAATTACGAGAAGAACATTTTTTTGAATATTTATGAAAACCAGCCTATCCTGTCTGGTCTTTACCACATAAGACTGTTTGATGATTTGGTTTTAATACTTGAAATGCAGGGGAACTTTTTAATAAGTGAGCATTTACACCAAACACTCTCACTGCAATTTGTAACCATTTTACGTTTTGGTGAATTTGTGGCTAATTAGTAAGACTTTGTACAATCTCGTTCGTAATTTTCATTCGATCTTATTACGACCCGTTGAAGGTTAGGTTTAGGGGTGGACCTTCACATGAACAAATCACATGACATACTGACATTTTCTTGAGATATCAGGTTAGTTCACATACATTAAACAGCACAGCATCAAAAAGAATGCAATACTGAATGTGGACTCTGAAAAAACCCTTTAAAAAGATTGCAAAATTGAGCACGCTCATAAGAGGCCATTCACATTTTTTTTCCCACTACTATGCTTTTCAACTGTTCAATCAACTTTTTCAATTGCTTCAATCAACTTTTTAAAAAACACATATCTAGCAGGGTTTTTTTTTATACCATGTGCCCTGCATCTCCTATATTTAACTGCAAAATGCATTCTCTGTGAATAGCCAAAGTCATCAGTAGCGTGTTTAGACACCACGCAATTGCTTGGGGCCCTTGTGTAAAGCAATTTCTACCCTCTTCCCCCCGGGACCACTTGCTGAGGGCCCCCAAAACTCAAAACACACCTCTGTTAAGTTATGGCCTAGTTTTCCTCCAAAAACTTGATCAACATCTGGTGTTGTTTTGGATCACATAGTCATAAAAGCTATTAATATAAACAAACGTGACTATATAATATTGTGCCAATCATTCAAATGGATTTCTGGTTAAAGAAAAACATTTCTGTTGACAAAGAATTTTACAACGTTAGATAATCATTGACTAATGGCTAATTTCGGCTGTCCTTTCTGTTCATCAGGGAGCTTAAGGGGGAAACTACAAATGACTGGAAACTACCAATCATTGACTGCTGGCTATATATTAATCTATCTGAACTTTTCAAGGGACAGAATTATGTTTTTCTATAGCAAAAAAAAAAAAGTTAAATAAATAATGTACGGTTCGCTGCTGATGTGAACGCAATTGTACCAAATCGCAGAAGTGAACCACTATTAATGATATATTATTTGAAAAAAATGTGTGTTTGTGTGTTTCACTCACTTTCCTGACGCGCTGCAAGCAGATGCTGTATATCTCATTTCTGTTCGCCTTCAGCGTTCTTTAGTGAATTTGCAGTACATTCGTAAGCCAGACGTAAGAGCCGTTATGTACTGAAGCTTTGGAAACAAAACCTTTTAGCATTAAACGTTGTATGAACATTAAAACAAGAACTGACATTATTTCAACCATATTTCAACGTTGAAGGTGGGTCATATGCAGGCTGGGACGGTTTAAAAACAATAAATATAAAATATGGGTGCTATGCATTTTGCCACCTTATCCTGCGCCGTCGTTCATTACTAAGCAATGGGGTAAACAGCTGCTGGCTTGATGACGCAAACGAACTGCGGTTCGGACCCAAATAATATAATGTGAACACAGTCCAGCGGGGGCAGGGGGAGGGGGTGCAATCGAACCAAGTGTGAAAGCACCCTTAATTATCTTCAATAGCATGATCTTTGATAACATCCTTCTTTTGATCCACATCCAGCCATATCTCTTTAAATAGTTTCAAAAGGTCATATCACAAATCAGTATATAAATAATAATTAAAAAAATGTGTATACTTGTAATCAAAAATATATTTCCTCATTCAAACACATGAAAACAACTTTAGCTGAAACGTAAAAATTAGGAGTCTACAAAATAGGAAACGTCTGATCATTTCCAAATGAACACTGATGGAGTTTCTCACATCGCTGATCTCCTGTGCAGAATCAGTGTAGTAATATTGGCTGGAAGAGTCTCTTGCTCGTCGGATCTCAGGATCAGCCCAGCTCTTCACGGGCTTTGCCTTGTTTGCGGGGCATCTTCTTACTGCTGCCGTCCTCCAGTTCTTTGTTCTTATAATAATGAGGAGCCACTTCCAGCAGCCAGCCACTTTCAATCTCTATCACCTGAAAGACAGAAACAACATTTAGAATAAAGCATATTTTTATGTATTCTGTAAAAAAGAGCCAGTCTGTTCCAATCGGCAACATTAAACCTTAAAGTCCACCTAAAAATGTAAATTCTGTCATTATTTACTTAACCTCATGTTATTTCAAACCTGTATGACTTTCTACTGTAAACAGAAAAGATATTTTGATGAATGTTGGTAACCAGTTTCGGGTTCCATTGACTTCCATAGTATTTTTTGTCCATATTATGGAAGTTAATGGAAACCGAAACCGTTCGGTATCCAACATTCATCAAAATATATTCTTTTGTGTTCCAAAAAGAAAGAAATGCATATGCAAGTTTGGAACAACATGAGGGTGAGTAAATAATGACAGAATTATGACATAATTCAACAATATTAGTGATATCTGACTAAAAAGACAAACAGAGTGAAGGCCAACTCCATACCTGTCTCATGAACACTTTGGTGGTGAAGACCAGCTCGTGGTAGATCATCCAACGTGGCTGTTCCTCAAAGAGTGAGCTGTTGGATGGATGTAAACAGTCTGCTGGTGTTTGACTGTTTTATAACCCCCTTTGCTCAAGCATGCCGTGTTGTAGAAATATCCTGCAGTCACCGCCTGGAGGAAAACGCAATCACATTTAGATCATGACCTGGTGAATTTATACTATAATTGATTGATATTTCTTAATACACAGCTGTCTAAAATACATGGTTTTGATTGGTCAATAGTAGTGAAAATATTTTTGTGAAATATTTTTGCATAAAGACCACTAAACTGTATAACTGAGTGACTTAATTTTGCAATAATTCTATTGCATCTGAAATCAGACAAAAGTAGGATTTGTGCACTGTTACTCATACCACAAATGATTCTTAGTCACCTAACCTGCATTCATCAATGCCAAACACCTTTAAATATAAAAAAGCATTGGCTAAAATGTAGTAACACACAGTCAGCAAGTATGCATGCATTCAGCTATTATGTTAGTCTGCCTGTTTAAATCCTCTGATGTGAAAGATCACATTGTCTTTTAAATACTGATGATTCATAGTGACACTAGTCTCTCACAGAACAGGAAGTACTGAAAAACAAACACATGAGAGACACATATTTACTCTTGACAGGTAAATTTCACCTGTCACTATGTTTGTTCAACTGTTCCCTGTTCAACATTTTTCCCTCAGTAGAAAATAAAAAAACATTGTAACCTGGACTAAAAAGATGTTCACCTTGGGTTAAGCGCAATGTGAAAAGCCCTAATGAGACAAGCAAGCACTTACCTTAATAGTTAACGATGCAAATTGTGCCACAAATCCTACTTCAATGTTTTTAGCTGGTAAGAGCCACAAGTAAGAGTGTCTTATGTGAATTCAGTCTATAAAGCTAAATTCAGGTTCATAAAGTTAAGATACCAATCACATGCAAAGCAGCAAGCTTCTGCACAAACACAATATCACCGAAAGAAAAGCGAGAAAGGAAGTGAGGGGGGGAATAAGGAAATCACCTTGTGAATGGGCACACTTTCACCGTTGCAGCTGCACAGTTCCACCTCGATCCTGTCCATCAACGTCTTCATGGAGCGAAACTGGATGAAGTTCTCGGAGCACCACTGAGTGGAGTAACCACTCTCTACCCACTGACAGAGAAAGAGAGAAACTATTGAATACATTTTCTTTTCTGGCACGCAACAACAAACAGTGCGAGCAGTGAAGTCTAATTCACAAACAAATTACTCATTCTTTTTACTGATTCAATCATAAATATTCACAAAACTCATTTGTGTTAGTGTTTTAAATCAGACAGAGTTTATAATCAACTCCTAATGATTTGCAAATCATTATTTGGTTAAGTCCGACCTGAACTGAACATGGAGCCACTCTCTAACCAATCAAGAAAAAGAGTGAAGGAGAAAGACTCGGGTAACTCGCTTGCGAGTTAATGTTTTAAATCAGACTCAGGCAGTGAATCGTTCAGAGAATTTAATATCAGTTTACAACTGGCTCCATAACTGATTTGTGAATCATTATTTGGTTATGTCCAATTCAATCTGAATGGGGAACCACTCTCTACCCACAAACAGAGAAAGACACCACTGAATACTAATGAATACAATAACTGTGTGTGTTGTGCATGCAACAACATACACACAGCAAGCAGTGAAGTCTGATTCACAAACAAATGACTCTTATGAACATTACTGTGATTTATACTTTAGGTTTGTGAGAGCATTTTATAAATGGTTGTTCATGTGACAATGTGCATTAAAGATACATATTCACATTATTTTGTTAAAAAATAAATAATAAAAAGTAAGGTAGAAAAAACTAATTGAAAAATGTACAAAAAATATGCATAATGGGTCCAGTTGAAAGGTTGAATTGACTGTAAGAAAAACTTTATTTGGGACTATAAGACCATTTGACTCCCCCCCCCCCCCCAAAAAAAAAACAAAAACAATCAGGATCAGAAGAGTGAAAGCATTACTGTAATGAACGTTTACAGCCTGCTTTATAACTTAAATTATTGAGCACTTTTGTTATTGTAGTTTAGTAATCAAAAAATACTTCTAAATGCTTTATTTCAGGTGCCAAACGCTTCCAAATATATATATTTTTAACACTATGTTTCTGTTGTTTGAATAGTCCTTCTTACAAAACATTGTTCATTTCAAAGTTATAATTGTACAAGACAAGAACTTCCGCACACACACGTCCACACAGGCCTGAATAACCTGTTCAGCAATACAACTGCTGCACATCTCCCATAAGGAAGTCACGCCAGACATTCTGACAATAACAAATAATTTCTGTTAGCACAACTGCCGGGTCGTAAAAGTGTGCAAAGCCTCAGATGTCAGAATGATTGCTGCTTTGAGTGATATTTTCAAGTGCACACATAAACACACCTGTGTATATACATTGAGCAGCACAATGTGATCTCCTCCTGGTACCACAAAGTTCATTCGAGCGTTGTCGGCATGAACCACTTTGTCCTTGGGCCGGTAGAAGATGGAGTTGTTCACTGACAGCATGGCCGCGATGGTCAGAATCTCCTCAGAGCATTTATAACGGAAAGACATAAATAATTTGTGATATTATTATTATTATTAATTAATTTTATTAATACTATTAATGTATAAATAATTAAGTAATGTCTTATTACTTAATTACTACAACTAATAATGACCATAATAATGTATTATATATTATATATAATGTATTATTTTATAATAATTAATTAGTACTTATAACTATTAAAATAATTATTGTTGCTGTTGCTATTTATAATAATTCATTATTAATAATAAAACATTTTGTTACATTCATAAATCATTTAAATCTAAATGACTTGTCCAAATACTTTTGGGTCCACAGCACACTTTACAGATTGATGTTGTTGCTAGAAGCTTCTCTTACTGGTGAACAGGGAGTGACAATGAGAGATTCCATTCCTGTCCTTGCATTGTAGCTCTTTTGTTTGCAGAAACCTGGATCAATCACATAGATGATGCCATTGATTGTGAGAGACGTCTCTGCGATATTTGTGGCCACCACAACCTGAAGCCCAAAAACACCACACACAGTTACTAAAGAAATCCATATTCAGAGTTTAGCATATTTATCAAGATGATAAACAAAATACAGCTTTGAAAGAAAAACATTTACATAAGATTTAGCATCAGTTTGTTTGGTTCTATTTTTGGGGGATAAAAGCTTCAGCAAAGAATAAATTTACAAGTAAAGGCAAGTAATCTTCCACACATTTCAACAGACATGCCACCCCCTGCTGGATGACAAAGTGAACGGCGTTCTTACTTTGCGGCTCCAGGCGGAGTGGGATTGAAGATCTTGGCCTGCATGTCCGAGGGCAAGTTGGCATAGATGGGCAGAACAACAAATTCAGATATCTTCGAGCCCAGTCTCCTACATCTCTCCTGTAGAAGTTCACAGCACGCCTCAATCTCCTCCTGCAACACCAGAGGACACCGTAAACGTCAGTATTACAAATATAAATATCATCTACTCTATTGATGATCCATAAACTGTACCGATATACATAATACACAAATACCAGATCATTAAATCTTTCTGGCTCATCACGGCTTTTCCATCTTGACAAGCTAAGTATTTTTTTTTATTTTACATTAGTGCTTTTTATGCCTTTATTGATAAACAGTGGAAAGAGACAGGAAAGACGCAAGCTTGTATTTAGTGTAAATGTATGTTCCCTCACACATAAATGTATACATTATAAAAATCATATAATATATTATAGTTTAAAAATAAAATGACCCCCTTAAATAGCTTCAATGCAGTTAATATGTTTGTTAGTAGCGCTGCAGCACCAATATAATTCTAGTGCTGGTGTGGTACTGAAGTACTAGTACCTCTGACATCCTTGTTATCAATATAATATATATATATATTACATAATATAAAATATGTATCATAACATAATAATTAGCTACTTTTTTTTCATTTTACGTTTATTTGTATTGCACTTTTCACAACACATATCCTTTCAAAGCAGCTTTATAGAAAATGAATGTTGTTACAATCAAGTAGTCAGAGGTGACTGCGGGAAAAATTGATGATGATGTATTGGAGAAATCTTTTTTCTGTTATGCCGTGACACAGCACAGCTTCTCTTAATAGATGTATGCATTGATAGATAGTCCGTCCACAAGGGAAATATGAACCAAGTATGAACAAACTGAGTGTCAAGGACTGACCTGTCCAGTGAGGAAGACCAGTACGTCTCCAGCCGGCTGAGTGACATGGATCTGTAGCACTGACACAACACATGCTTCTAGGCAGTCAGCCTCCGGAGCCTGAACCAAAATACAAATGATATTAACAATATGCATTATGCAATGTACGAATGAAGGATCAAACGATCAGAGAAATCACTAAATTGGATTCTTACACCGAGGTGGCGATAATTATTTTCATGTTATGACTAATACCCGACAAATGGCTGATATTAAAATTCTATACTATTTAGTCTAAATAAATTATTAATAAAACATTAAAACCTAAAATCATTTTAGATGCTTAAAGTGAATTTAGGCATCACAACATTAAATGAGGAGTACACAAAAATGCAATTCATTTGTTAAAGATTAAATTTAACAGTGTTATTAAATGAATCTCTTTTTAAAGCTTAACTTTAAGTGAGGATTAGAGTTCATCTACATATAAAAATAACCATGCACAATGAAATATACAATACATTACATTACACCCTAGAGAGCATTTGGATGATCCAGAAGAGGATTGGGAGAATGTCATATGGTCAGATGAAACCAAAATATAACTTTTTGGTAAAAACTCAACTTGTCGTGTTTGGAGGAGAAAGAATGCTGAGTTGCATCCAAAGAACACCATACCTACTGTGAAGCATGGGGGTGGAAACATCATGCTTTGGGGCTGTTTTTCTGCAAAGGGACCAGGACGACTGATCCGTGTAAACGAAAGAATGAATGGGGCCATGTATTGTGAGATTTTGAGTGAAAACCTCCTTCCATCAGCAAGGGCATTGAAGATGAAACGTGGCTGGGTCTTTCAGCATGACAATGATCCCAAACACACTGCCCGGGCAACGAAGGAGTGGCTTCGTAAGAAGCATTTCAAGGTCCTGGAGTGGCCTAGCCAGTCTCCAGATCTCAACCCCATAGAAAATCTTTGGAGGGGGTTGAAAATCCGTGTTGCCCAGCGACAGCCCCAAAACATTACTGCTCTTGAGGAATGGGCCAAAATACCAGCAACCGTGTGTGAAAACCTTGTGAAGACTTACAGAAAATGTTTGACCTCTGTCATTGCCAACAAAGTGTATATAACAAAGTATTGAGATGAAATTTTGTTATTGACCAAATACTTATTTTCCACTATAATTTGCAAATAAATTCTTTAAAAATCCTACAATGTGATTTTCTGGATTTTTTTTCTTATTTTGTCTCTCCTAGTTGAGGTATACCTATGATGAAAATTACAGGCCTCTCTCATCTTTTTAAGTGGGAGAACTTGCACAATTGGTGGCTGACTAAATACTTTTTTTCCCCACTGTACATGAATGTCTGAATGTCTTTAATCACAGTCCAATACCTTTGTGTAGTAAATATCCACAGGAAACCTACGACCTGGAATCCTAAATACGGGTGCATCGTCAAAGAAGCAAGAGAAGAGCTCCTGTGTCCAGAGTGGCGCTGGCCACCAGAACCTTCAGGTCAGGGCGGAAACGTGCAACGTCTTTGATTAGACCGAAGAGGATGTCTGTGTGTAACGTTCGCTCGTGGGCCTCATCGATGATGATCACACTGATCACAGAAAAACAGTCAATTAAAAAGAGCAAGCAACCATGAAAGCAATTATGGCAGTCATATTATTAAAAATGTCAAAAATATTAATTCTGTAAGGTAAGCTTCCCTATCGTATAAAATCAAAAGATAACATTTTAAAATGCTAATATTAAAATAGAAATTCTGTAGGGTACGTTTTTACCTGTAGCTGGCGAGGTCGGGCTCTGTAAGAAACTCTCTGAGTAACATGCCATCAGTCATGTACTTCAGGATGGTGTGTTCTGACGTACAGTCCTCAAAACAGATGCTGTAGCCCACCTGTGGAAAATATGACAACATATCTAATCTAAAAACTACAAATGGATTTTTTGTATTTCAGGCACCAATGCTTGGAGACAACAGACTGTAGCGTTTACACATTTTTGTGTAGAACTGTTTCCACTGAACCCTGATATTTGAATCTGTGTCGTTGGTGGCACAAATTTGATTCCGGTCAAAATACAAGTCCAGATTTAAAGCGTTAAGAGCACCAGATGCGTTATGCTTACAATACGAATCATTATATTTTCCGGTGGACGTGTCGCATCTCGCATGCACTTCATATTAAAACGAATGCGTAATATGCCTAAATAAGACATAATTCATGTAAAAAAAAAAAATTCTTAAGATTTTTATGTATATTTTCTAAAGAATTCTAAAGAAATGGTATTTTAGTCTAATCAGTGCCGGGGAGCTTTCAATAATAGATGTAGTGCTCAGAGAGTTAAAAACTGTTGAGGTCTTTGTAGGAACTCTAGTATCACTTGATATAACTAGCATTTAAGAAAAGAAATTCACATTTCACATTGTTTATATATATATATATATATATACACATATATATACAGGGTTGCACATAAGTGGTATGCAGGTCCGCATGCGCGATCAAAATAAAAACTGCGCTGTGTAAATAAGTTCTGACAGCGCATTTGATTACCGACATGGTTGACAGCTGTTAATGCACAATTACCATTTTAGATCGACAAACTGTAATACTGTATAAGATTTCTATTCAAACTGAAAGCATAAATCTAGGCTACCCGATGCCGTTTTCAAAGCACAATATAAAACAGTGACATTTCATACTGATGCACGGCAGTGCTAAACCCGGAAGCGCATATCTTACTTGCCGGCAACCCGCCAAAATAAAAGCCTGCTGATTTTAAAATTCATCTTTAAAAGAAAAAAGTAAATATTAGCATTTTATTTTTTAAGTTTAATATAAAATAGTTGTATTTGTATTTAATACTCCCTTTTTATTTTAAAATATAATAGTATTATCACACTTTATTATTTAGTTTATTATTTTATAAAAAAAATAAAGTGCAACAATATTATCACTACGATTAATTTATTTTTTATAGTTGTATTTAATGGGTTACACTATGTGCAGTGTGAGAACCAAACCAAATCTCCAGGTTCTCTAATGAGAACCAGGCTGAAAAATGTATGTGCACCCCTGTATATATATATGTGTGTGTGTGTGTGTACATATATATATATATATGTGTGTGTGTCTCTGTGTGTGTGTGTGTGTGTAAACAATGTGAAATGCTTGCATTTCTACCAATAAACCACATCAACTGGTGTGTGAGAGGAAGCGGTCTATAAAAGTATCACCTCAACTGTGACAAAACATCACATGAGGAACAACTTACCAGTTATAAACGTCTCGATAGAGGCTCAAACATTTGGACAGGTCTTACCACCGTTAGACTAGTCTGCTTGGTAGATATAATTTTGATTTAAAAAATAATTGGAAAAAACATTTGGTTTCAGTTTATAGATTATTGAGAGCTATTGTCGGAGTGCCTCTATGGCGGGATTGATGACTGATGGCTGCAGACCATGTGCTCTTATATGGGCTGTATTTCTGCTGTCCTCTGTCATGGGATACAGACCAGTAATTATTGTTCACGGGATATTAGATGGACCCAGACAGTTTGAAATTTTGGCCAAATTTATCAATCAGGTAAGATCATCTTCTTTATCTATTTAGCAACGTTATTTTTTATTATTGTTTTATATGTAAGTATATTTAATTTAAGTAAAATAACTAATGCACTTCTATTTGTATTTTTAAATTATATTTGCATGTACTTTATATTGTGATTTTAAAAAGGTGTGTTTTTTTGTTGTTGTTGTTTTTGGGTTTCTGTAGTTATTTAGTTTTTCACCCTTACCTACGTTTTTAAATAAGCAAGTTTAGGGGTCAAAAACTCCTTTCTGTAAAATTCAGAAAAAGCACACCTTTTTAAAATCATAATCTAAGTTTTTAAAATCATAATCTAAGTTCTAAGCAACCAAAATTTTAATTGCATAAACTTTTTTAAAAGTTGTTTCAGTTCCATCTTACAGTTTTTGGCACATAGTTCTCCTTTTTTATCAAGGATGAAACTCACCAACTTCTCTGTTCCTTCTCTGTGTTTTAGTCTCATCCAGGTACCAATGTGACCACACTAGCCCTGTATGACTACACTGCCAGTTTGAAGCCACTGTGGCAACAGGTAGATGGATTCAGAGAAGCCATCAGACCCATCATGGAGAGTGCTGAAGATGGTGTCCATCTCATCTGCTTCTCACAAGGTTATCTAAACTCATAACTAATAAGATGTTTGTTATATATACACCATTCAATATAGGTCAGCATGATTATCAAAAATCATAATTGTCGAAAATTTCCTTGAAATTGTAATTGCGATTATTAATTACGATTATCACAATTTACACTGAATGATGTTTATAACAGTTTGAAGCAACTGCATGCCATATTTTTATATGAACATAAACAAGCTGAAAACAAAAACGTTTATTGCTTTTCTATATGTATGTCAACTATACATTGGATTGGTTTCTTCTTTAAATAAATAAAGTAAATTAAAACAATGGGGAAACCCTTAAGTGAACCTGCAGAAAGAAAGAAAAAAAGACATTTAAAGCATGCAGAATAACATAAGTGAACTTTGAATGATTACGTATAATTGTGGCATCCGTAATTGTAATCGCGATTAGAAATTCAATTAATTGTGCAGCCCTAGTTCAAAAGTTTTTGTTTTTGAAAAAAAGTCCCTTATGCTCTCCAAGGCAGCTTTTATTTAATAAAAAATACAGTAAAAAACGTAATATTCTGAAGTAATATTTCAATTTAAAGGAGTCATATGATGCGATTTCAAGTTTTCCTTTCTCTTTGGAGTGTTACAAGCTGTTCGTGCATAGATAAGATCTCTGAAGTTGCAAAGACTAAAGTCTCAAACCCAAAGAGATATTCTTTATCAAAGTTAAGACTTGTCCACGCCCTCCTAAAACGCCTCGTTCAAACACTCGTTTAGTGTCTACGTCACTGTGTGGGAAGATTTGCATAACACCGCCCAAATGTTTACGCAAAGAAAGAAGGCGTAACTTTGATTCTCGCTGTAGTATTGTTGCCGCCGCCATATCGTGGAGACGTTGTGTGTTTTGTTGTGAAAGCGAAACTACTTTGTTTGGTCTTCCAAAAGAGGACACGACTAGAAATCAGTGGTTAAGTTGTATTTACAACACTGTTCCAGAACAGTTCAACCCAAATATTCAGATGTGTGCAGCACATTTTACGGAGGACTGTTTCTTGATCCTGGGAAGGCTGTGCACAAAGGCTGTTTCTATAAAATGAGGTAATTCCATTTGCAAGGACAGTCTGGCGCTTCTGACTCACAGCCTGTAAGTATGCTTTCATATTTAAAGGATTTGCCACTGATGATTCAGATGCGAGATTTGAGCAGTGTAGAGTAGCGCTTGTCGTTTGTAATTTCTCCGATCACAAATGAAGACATGGTTTAATCTTTACGAGGTGCGATGCAACACAACGTGTAAAAAGACAGTATAAGTCATTATAAGCCGTAATTATGTCTCCACTGGATGCAACAAATGCCTCGTTTATAATGGGTTTTATTGGTTTGTCTCGTCGCTCTGGGATATGGCATCACAGTATGGTGAGAGGCGTAACATTTCCGTCACACGCTTGAGGTATTCAGCCAATCAAAACGCACTGGATAGCTGGCCAATCAGAGCACACCTCGCTTTTTTCAGACCGATGAGCTTTGTAAAAATCGACGCGTTTCAGAAAGGCGGGGCATAGAGGAGAAACAATAATGTACATTATGTGGAAAATAATGTTTTTTGAACCTTAAACCGCATAAACATTGCATTACACCAAATAATGTTATTTTTAGCAACATCATATGACCCCTTTAAAATAACTGTTTTCAATTTTAATATATTTTAAATTGTAATTTATTCCTGTGATGACAAAGCTGAATTTTTGATGTATTTTTGATCTATTTAATGCATCCTTGCTGAAGAAAATATTTACTTTGGAAAAAAAAATCATACTGACTCCAAATTTTGAATGTCCCTGTTTAACTGTTTTTAAAATCATTTTAAAAGGTGGTTTGATATGTCGAGGAGTTCTTGCAACCCTTCCGACACACAATGTTCACTCTCTGATATTCCTGTCTTCACCACTAGCTGGCCAGTATGGAGGTCAGTCAGTCCTATCCTCCCTACACTACACACACCACAACACCTTTTTTCTTTAAAGAAACAAGGCATCATACACATCCAGAAGTGCTTTGTCCATGTTTTTACAGATTCGTGTTATTTGAAAAAAATTTTCCCTAAATTGATCAAGTCAAGACTGTACCATATTTGTTACACTACATGGGGACAAAGGATATCTATCTGCAACTACTGGAATGGTAAGTAGATGTCTTACTTTCATCCTACAATTTAATCACTGTTCTGCATTTAATGTGATTTACAGCATCTTTCTTTATCTTTATCTCTGTCTTTTTTTTCTGTAGATCCACACCAAAGAGAGAGATACTTAAAGAGCAGCATCTATCTCGCCCCACTGAATGGAGAAATAGTGCATGCCAATTCAACAGGTAATTTCAGATGACATGACTTTTGGTAACCTGTGTTTATGTGCTGCTCAGATGACAGCTTTTGCTTGGGTTGTTTGTGCACTTTCAATTCAGTGGCCTTGAGCCATGTTGTATCCTGCTGTTCCCTTGCAGCGTGGCGAGACAGCTTTCTGCACATACAGACGCTGGTGCTGATCGGTGGACAAGATGACGGCGTTATTACACCATGGGAGTCAAGGTCTCCACAAATATTGTATCACATGATATTGAGCATCTAAAGTTTGTCAGAGCTAGAAATCATCAAAGTCTTATGCTGCTAAAGGGTTAATGTGTGGCAGCTCAGCAGACTGGAATGAATGTGAGAAATATTTAGAGTGA